GAGTCATTGCACTTTATGCTGAATGAGCAGCGAGTCAACAACCCATCCTATCCATATCTCTCTCTCTCTCTCTCTCTCTCTCTCTCTCTCTCTCTCGCTCTCACTCGCTCTATCTGTCCATGTATGCGTTACACCACACCTTTACGGTCTCTTCTCTTTCCTCTCTTTCTCATTCTCTTTCCGAGGGAAGGAGGAAAAACGCGGCCGGGAGAAGACAGAAAAGGGAGAAGGAGGCGAGGGTGGAGAAGGGACTGGAAGAGAAGGTCTGGGAATCGCTTCATGCATCGAGGAACACAAGCGTTCGCGTAATAACACGATCAAAAGGCGAGTGAGCACCGTCTCACGCGTGCACGCACTTTTCGTGCGCCAACACGTGTGATTCTTCTCCCTCACATCGTACCTTCGCCGGTATTAGAAAAAAAGGCACGGGCGTGCGCGCGTCGAAATGCGCGTGTACGCGCAGCATAATCCCCGTCCCGGTACGAGCGCCAACGAGCGTCCTATTTTTATATGTACGACGAACATAGGACGCGCGGCGTGCACGGCGCGCACGCCGCGAAAATCTTGGCGTGCCGGCGAAGGGAGACTCGAAGGTCGACCTTTTTTTATCGAATGAGGTAATTCAAGGTACGCAGTACGCGGGTTGACGATCAACGCTCGCGGACAAATCTCTCTATTCCGTGCCTCGAATTACATCAATTACAGTGACGGCAATTCTTGGGAGTATACATCGCGGGGAAGAATGCATATTTTTAGAAATGCTCTCTCATCATTTTTCATACACGAAAGAAATATTTCGGCGTTGCACCAAGGATGATACCTATTGCAATTCGATGTTTTTAACGATAGAGGAATAAAATTTGTCATTTTTTGTTGGACCGACTTAAGGCAAAACCATAGGCGTAGCTAAACTGTTTTTCTGGAAAAAAGAGGGGGTCATGGTCTCTCCCTCCCTAGGTTGACCAAGTTCTTTCACCTAGTTACCTTTCCCAGATTAAACCCTTCGGATTAAAAATAATCCGAAGGGTTATCAGAGGGAGAGGGGGTCTGCCCCTTTAGCCTCCTTCCTTCGTCTATGCGTAAAACATGTGTTAAAATCCGATTTTTATTTTCCGAGAAGATTAAGCATAAACGTCGTGTCTGACCAGAAAATGGGCTTATTGTTGCTCTAAGCGATACACGCATCCACAGTAGAATTCGCTCGTCGAGTAAAATTAATACGGAGTGCCGTGTCGCGTCTATCTTTTTCCAGACATCTAGTCTCGGCTCATGGTCGCCGGCGACTTTACGCCGCATTTTGTGTTCTCATCGAAACGTGAGACGTCGAGTGAAGGCAGAAGAGAGAAAAACCGAGAAGATCGGCAGCGCGCGGTATTTTGCACTGCATTAGCAAAATATCTCACGCGGGAACCTCGCGAACCTGAAAATTCTGATTTTGATAAAACTTTACACACATGTAGGGGGAATAAATAAACGAATTTAAACATTTTTATAGTTACGGCCCAAAATGATTTTAAGGGATGAAACCACCCCTTATATGTAAAGCTGCTTTTTGCTTTTCTCAATATACATATATCTCGAAAAGTATTCGAGATATCAAAAAATATTTTACATAAAAGTTTTATGGTTTATTTGACCACATTAATAATATTTTGAAAAAATAATTTAAAAAAAAAATATTTTTTTAAATTATTTTTTTAAAATACTATTAATGTGGTTAGAGGTGTTCTTACCATGAAACTTTTGTTATCACAAATAATTTTCGAGATAGGTACATCAAGAAAAGCAAAAAGCCGCTCTACATATGAGGGATGGGTTCACCTCTAGAATCGCGTTTTTGGACCGCAACGGTTTATAAATTCGTCTATTTACCTCTCCTACATGTGTGTAAAGTTTCATCAAAATCAAAATTTTCATTTCCCTTGTCAGTCCTCTATTACGTGACAATGTTTTCGGGCGACGTATATATTCCGAAATATTTAGACATATCTCAAATCAAGAGATAAAATAAATACTTGGCAGTATTATACGTACAACGTATCTTGATAATTAAAAGAAAGATAGGTACTAATAAATATTTTCAACGCGGTGCATGCGGTACTATTGTAGACGACAGTCGACTTGCTGTGTATATATAGCCTTCTTCTTCGCGCGGAAACCGCTATCGCGGTTTTTTTCCTGGGAACAATGGCCACCGGTTGTAACAATTTCCCGTAGGCGGGAAAGTGCGTTACAACCAGTTACAACCGTTGCCTCCCGCGTCTCGGTCTTCATTCGTAATTCTACCATTTCAGTTCTCAGTCAATACAAAAGTCTCCCGGACGCTCTTTACGAAAAGAGACTCCGAGCGTAGAATATTATCGAGAGGGAAGCCACTGTGAAAAAATTTTGTGACTCAATTTTCAAAGAGAAAAAGAAACGTTCGCCAATTAACGACCGCTATCAAAGACGTAATACGATTTATAAACGATAGAAATTTAAATAACGGTATAATTAATATCGCAGCAGGAATGCGCGGGCTGCGCACGCTCCATGACATGCCTGAATTCGAACACTTGACGAGATGCAGGAACGCTCCGGTGGTACCAATATACTTGCCGTTCTATTTTCTGAATAGGCACTCAAAGTAGACACGTCGAGGAGCTGTCGCTCAATGATTTATACGTTCGTCCACAGCCGCCACCCGCCGGCCGCCACGTTTCTCTTTAAAACCCGCGCGAATCGCCACCCACGATTATCGACACCCGAGGGTCGCTTTTGTGAGGTAAAATAGAAAAAGTATGCCTTCGAGAATACACGTTATCAAGGCCGCGAGGGTCGCGCTCGAGGATATCATTGTGTTCGCCGGCCGACTCGCCGAAAAGACGGACAAAAAGCGTAGCGGTCGAAAAGCGTACCCGGTCAGTTAAAATGTCATACGTGGCCTATCTCGTTTCTCACGTCATTAAGCAACGGACAAGGACATATCCTAAAATAAAATGAGGGGTAGAATGAGTCATTTTCATTTCGGGAACATATAAATGAGAGATACATTTATCTCTCATTCTGTATTTGATAATACAGCCTGATTACATATGAAAGATGAAGAAACGAGAAAGATGAATGTACGAATCAAAGCCAAACTAGTCGGTTCTGTCATCGAGAACGGACGAACGTGTACAGGACGTCACATGACGCACGTGTGCAAAACTACGGCTATTACGTAGCTATTTTCTCTGGGTTGGCTATATATCGAAAATAGTAATGCTTTAATCGCATCTCCTTCTTGTGCGACTTGAGTCTAGAAAATAATTCCCCGTTTGAATTCTATTTTGCATTCAGACCGATCTGGAATCACAGTCGTGATAATAATTTGTTACAAAAAAACAATATTAAAAATTGTTGTAAATATTGTTAGAATAAGCGCAGTATCGATCTCGTAAGTACGTAAGGAACACTAAATTGTTGTTTCTTATCAAAATAAAATTTACAGTTTCTTTAAATTTTCCTCGGGATCTGCTTCTCTTTTTGAACTAAATTTTCTTCATCTTTGTACATGTATATAACATTTACGGTAAACATTCATGACAAATAAAATTCATTTTTGCGTAAAAAAAGAAAACAATAGGGAGTTTTTGCAATACCGTCTTTCAGACACGGTAACCGTATCTCAATTGTTCAGATAAAAGCTAGATGCTTTATGGCAAGTTCCGCAATGTCTTTTGCATGATTACATTTGAAATCTTCAGTAACTTCGAGGAATCGGGCGGAACTAGAAAAATTTTCTCGGAAGAAAGACCGCGCGCGGGAAAAGTGCGACGACAAAACTAAGCGGTACAAATCAGGAGTGGCCCTCAAAAGAATGAGCATTTACAACATAATCGAGAGATTAATCTCTCCGTAATAACTGCATTACGGCACTGCAACGTGGCATCGTAACTGTTTTATAAGTCTAAGAAGAATTCTTTGTGAACTAATATTATTAACGTCCAGGAAAATCCGCTTGAATATGAATACTAGGTCGTATAAATACTAGGAAGGATATTTTTTATCCTGTCTTATACGTATATTTAATTAATATTAAATTAGTATAATTGTAAGGGGTATAAATGCAAAATTCATATTCTCCATCCTTTCAAGTATCAATAAGCAAAATATAGTGAAGAAGAATCTACAAACTTCCACTTTTAACAGACAACATACAACTCATACTTAAGAGACTCTCACGCTGAAACAAGGAACGTTTAACGATCGCGAATGAAAGTCGGCTTAATCCTTGAATAAATAAGCTACGCGGGTCTACATAAGGCAATTTATAATATCAATCGGCGTATTCTACATTCAAACGTATATTCGTATATAGTCAGTTTAATCTTCACCGCTTTTAAAGCGGTATTTCAGACTTTGCGTATCGTAAATTTTATTTGTAAAATAAAATGTGGAGATAAATTTTCAACAATTCTTCTTGCACTAAATTATATAACAATCTATATTGTCAATTGGCTATTTCCTTCAATAAACTTTTCACTTACTACTCAATTAGAATAACTAACGAATTTACTATTTAAGCGCAGACTGCGAACGACTTTGTTATTATAAAGTATTAATGTAATTAAACTAGAATAGAACTAAATAAAACACCTATTAAGGCAATCTAACCAAGTGTCAAAATCTTTCATATATTTTATTCTAGATCCATTTAGAGTTTTTATCATATTACTTCATTGCGTGTTACTTAATAGTTAATAATTTTTGTAATTTTCTTAATATTAATTAGTGTCAAAATAGTAAGCGCTCTAACACAAATAATATAACGTCGGAAATTCGCGCAATTTGTTTGACAATTGGTCCAAAACTAAAAAACAAATTCGAAATCTGCGTTTGCAGAATTTGCAACAAAATTTTCTTATACCTTTTTTTAATATGATTTATATCCAAATAATGTCGACAACATTCGTTTGTTTCATGTTGCGCGACAACGGACGCACAAGTATCTCTCCGTTCGGTAGCGCCTAAAATAAAATAAAAACGAAAGATCAAACAAGACTTACTTGGACTTCGAAGTGCGTGGAGGTGTCTTGCGGCTGCGGAGGACCTTGTTGTTGTTGCTGTTGCTGCGAGGGTGGTGGACCCTGCGGCGGCGGCGGGGCTTGTGCCCCGAAGAGTTGCGCTGCCGTGTGCGAGTGCGGATGTTGTAGATGATGAGTCGGCGGCGCTTGGTGATGCTGCAGATGGTGCGGTGGTGCCGGCGCAAATGCCGCCATGAAATGTTCCTCGCTGCCAACAACGTCGATCCCGGGTTTCAGCAAGACGACGCCACCACCACCGGCGCTCACGGCCAGGGTGGCGGCGGCATTCTTCTGAAATTCTTCTTCGCCCGGTGATGGTTGACGGCTTCCGGGTGTGCGGCTGCAATAAAAATATAAAAATTATTCAGACTAAGTAAAGATTATAGCATAGCTAACTTAAAATATATACAAAAAGATGATTATATAATAGCTTTGTTCGCCTGCCTCGATTATAATGAATATTTAGTCATAGTTTATCAAGTCTACAAGTTGATAGTAAGCGTAAGAATCATATTTTTATTTTCTATATAAAGAAACTGGCATAATTTTCTTAAGAGCAATTGCAAATGGTAACTGCTCTTATTGTAAATGTCAAGGACCTCATTGTGAATGACGAACATGCGCGGTGTGCTCAGCGAACATGAAATTAATTTCCAAAGCTCCAGATTTGTAATAAAAGTATTTTTTAAACGTGCGATGTCTTTTCTGAAATTAATCTTTTTCAAGTATTAAATTTAGACTAACAAACTCTGATTTATCATGTATAATACTTATTCTTTTTGATTAGCAGAATCATTTTCTGGTTAAAAGTAAATACAAAAAAATTTATTTTCTATTATACATATATGTTAAAAGTTGAAAACCCTTACAGTAAATCCGCTAAAATAATAATTTCACAAAAAAATGCTAAACCCAAGAGTCCACGCAATCAATTATATGTCGTGTAACGGTGCATTTTGCATAATGTGACGTACGTAACAGGATGCAATCCGCAGGTTAGACGACTCACCTTACTTTTCTCGTGAGAAAAGAAAGTATAAACGTCAACAACGACCGTCAACAGTAAACTATCATTATCATAATGACATGGATAATAACATTCCTATTGGTCGTATCATTTTCCTCTCCAATACATTAAGAAAATCTGAGTATGAATGCAAACGATAATTTTTTCATTTAGATCTGATATGCACGGGAAAAAAATGAAGTTGATTCAATTAAACGTCAACGTCACGGGCTGCCACAAGTTAATTCAATTGAATATTATTGGATCAAATGCTTAAATTATTTATTAAAATTATCTGATGTTTTTTCTTCATTAATATTGATGTTGCATCAATAAATTTTATCTCAATAACACTGATGCTATTAATACAAAAAATGATGCTGTTAATACATTTTTTTTTCGTGCGAAAATCCTTATTAAAAAAAGGTCGAAAAAAAGTTATCGTTAGAAACTATTTCAAGTTTTCCTCTTTTTTATTAATTATGATTTAGAAGTAAAATTTAAAACCGTATTCTCAAACTTTCCAATGTTTTTTCAAAAACTTTGAATTACTGAGATTTGAATTGATTAAATTAATTTAATAAAAATAGACATGTACAGAGTGTATACGTGTAGAGTGCAAATGAACAGCACATAATAGGGCCGATATCACAGTCTCCGATTAACGTGATCCTCCGATTAAACTCACTCTGCATCTCTTTCTAACTGTCCCCCTAAAAAGAGACGAAGAGTGAGTTTAATCGGAGGATCACGTTAATCGGAGACTGTGATATCGGCCCATAGATGCAACAAAAACAGAAAAACAATGTCGGTAACGTCGTTGTCGATTGTACTTTCTGTCGTGTGCTACTGATGGCGCAACATTACTGACAATGAGAATCGAGCAAAAAACTATCGCAAAAGAAAACAAGAAAAAAATGTAATATCATTGGCCATGTGTAGTTTTCCCTTGACAGCTCACTATTTCACTATTACGCTATTTTATTACGATAATTACAGTAGATGCAATATATAAAAAACTTACATATCTCTATATAATAGGATATAGTGAAAAATCTTATTTCTTGCTGCGCTGCGCTAGATAATTATTCAAACGCTTATATCTGATACTATTGTAAATTCTACAATTTTTGTTGTAATTTGTCAAACTTCTTTTTTTAATATTTCTTTTCTTTCAAGATTATTTTTTAGAAAGACAGAAATAAATAAAAATAAAAAAATTAGTACAAAAATAAAAAAAATACAAAAGATTTTTCGTTATTTAATCACTTCGCCAAAAGTCTTAATTTCAAGATTAATTGCATAAATAATTAATTCTAAACGTTAAAATATTGCGAAAAACGAATAAAATCAATCATTTGAACGTCGGTCTGTGTTTGAAAAGAAGTACACGATACTAATGAACATATCGTACTTGATATTAAATAGTGCAATCAGCAAAAAATAGAACTTACTTAAATCCTTTGTCGTCGTCTAAACCGTTTTGAGACGCTAATCCATTACCCTGTGGCCCAGCATCATCCTTTGTGCTATCAAAAGGACTTGCCGAACCTTTTTCTTTTTCTTTCTTGTCTGCATCGGTATTCTGTATATAAAAAAAACCAAAATAAAATAACACCTATACATATGTACATATAAACTTAAAAGGCTAACAATAAAGAGTTTACGCCATCATGTAGTACTCACCAATCTCAGAGAAACCATTCGCGGTTCCAAATCTTTTGGTGTAGTGGGACTCGATCCAAGAACGTATTCAACCATTTTAACTCCCAAACCACCTGTTTCGCTGCAAGAAAGAAAATACATTATCAATAATATCGCTATCAGAATAACACACAAGCATGGATTAATAAAAATATAACAGAGGCTTCAAAATCTTTCTCTTGGTTATACATACTTTTATCGAATTTATAGTCGATTCTCTTTCTACAAAAATTTTGCCGTGACAATTCTTGTATAACTTTAACATTAATCATTATAATCATTTAACGATTCTTTCGTTAAAATTTTATTAGAATAAAACCAACTTGGTAAAAAAAATACAAGATTTTATCATGTGTATATGCAGATATGTAATCTTCAAACTCTAATTCGTAAAGACTTTCATGTTCAATTTCTTACAAGTAGAAGTTATCAGTACCTCGACATCGGGGCAAATATCGGGGCAAATATTTTATTTTGGCGTTTAGTATCTACAAAAACGCATAATACCCGAGAAATAGACAACAATATAACACACGAACCTGCTTCTAGGACTAAGTACTGTCCCGACTTCTGATGCTTGGTGGTGATATCCCGTTCCAACTCCCACACGTCTGCCCGTACCCATTGAAATTGGCTGTGACACTGCATGATCTGTAAAGGACAAACGTACATGACAATATTTACATTTACGTTAGATTATTTGTGTGATACAGAAGCATCTCTCTTCAAGACAGAAGAGTTAGCACGATTCAAGTTAGAGCTCTAACAATGGCGAATACTTTTCTTTGATCGACTGTGTATATTATAATTTGTAGAAACCGAGAAACTTGATTTCTCGTCCTTAGATATCGGCTTTTTCCTAAAATACTTCTCTATATATTTGAGAATTCTCAGTCACATACAAGTTGTCGAAAAACCTATCCGGTTCCCAATCGAATTAAATATAAGGATTGTATAAATAACGATAAAAAAATGTGTTCTCGATATACAAAAAAATACCAGTGTATATATGTCTGATGCTTTCAACATAACTACGAGTCAATATAAAGGAGAATCAATAGACACACACACATACACACACACACATATATATATATAAAACAAACCTATCGCGCTCCAACGATACACGGAATACATATCATTGAGAAATAGCCTTCTCCTACAATTTGTACATAATTTCGCAATAATTTTTAATTCAGTTTTATATCTACACGCGCTTCTACTATACATCATTATATTTTTGAGTTCTACAAAAACAGATGCCGTGCAAAAAAAACCGAGAGAAAATTACATGTTACATGTTAGAAAGTTTCCCACAATTTATTCAAAACGATAGAAGTAATCTTTATTTTCTAAAAATCCAGAGTGTTCTTCTCTGCGGCTATATTGGATTACAACATCAAAAGTAAATTCTTTTTTCGTTGGTCCTGTGATAGCTGCGATGAAAAACTTGAAGAGTCTTAAGACACTTCGAAAAAATACGGATGCTACTCAATTACGAGACACATTTTCAAAAGATATTTTAACAAATCTGATTCGTTGACTCGCACTCATGGATAAAAAAAAAGGTCTCATTGGATTCTGAATTTGACGACGGGTGTCTATCAAGAAAACTTTATCGATACGGAAAGAGAGAGGAAGACAAAAGGAGAAAACGATGGAATTTATTCAAACACCAATTTGCCAGTGTCGAGAAGCAACTACGGTCATGAGCATTATCGAACAAGATTCCGTTGAGGGCTTCCATAGATAGAGAAGTTTGTTCCGCGCTTTCACGCGCGCGGCGCCAATACAACGGTGCGGCGGCCCAGCTGGACGACGGTCGGGGGGTTGATGGTCGCTCGGGGTGCTCGCTAACGGGGTGGATCAGTAGATACGATCCTGGGCATTGGGACGTTGCCCCTACTGCCGCCTGCCGCCTCTGATGCCGGGCGTCTGTCGCCATAGCAACAACCGCGTTGCACCTATCGCGGTGTGACGCACACATGACGGCCGCTACCACCGCCGCCACCACCACCATACCCACATCCATATCTGTATCCGTACCCACATCCACATCTACATCCACATCCATATCCGCATCCACATCCTTATCTACATCCACTGCCACATTCACTGCCAGGGCCACGACTGTCACTTTCATCGCTACATTCACATCATGTCAACAACTATATTTATATTTACATTCACAATCCACAGCCACAATCGCCGCTTCTAGTATATGTATGTACCGCACTTGCAAAAAAATCAGGTGTTTCACCCGGTGTATACATTATGAGTACACCCTGTATATACACTGGCATCGCATAAATCTTAATATTTATATAATACGAATTTATTAGATATTTTTAGATCAGACGAATCACATATGATATTGTGCATTCATGATTCAGAGACTCACGCAAATATTTGTGTTTATTTGTGGCACCAATTAAACATTAGCATAAAAGTGTAAACAGTAGATATGCACTGCCAGTACTGAAAATCTATAGCATACGTAATGTAAAATGTAAACTATAGATTTTCAATACTGGCAGTGAATATTGGAACGCTTGTGTGTTAAAGTAAAGGGATGAAAGTATTTGGACAAATCTATTTGATTTAAAAATATCTACTGATTGTGAATGTAATAAGTGTCAAAATCTACATAAGGCCAAATGTGCACAGCATGTAATTGTGATACATGCGCTTTCTGAAAGTATTTTTAAAAAGTGCGCATTGTGTCTGAACATTTACATCCTTTTAGCATTCCAGAATTTTGGAGTTCAAAGACTTGATTAACGTACAAGTAGATTTGTGATATTGCCTGCTATATATAATTCTTATACTTAAATGTCATTATTATTTATTTTCTATATGTTTCTAAATTATTTAAAAGTTTATGAGAAATGGAAAAACTTAAAATATTTAGCGATGGAAATATCGCATATATACAAAATTATAAATGCTTCCAAATGTTTTTATCATCTTCAACTTTTAGACGAATATCTTCCTCTTTTTTTTCAACTGATTCAGATTTTCGATATTTTGCGTTTTACTCGCGTAAGAGTTGCAATTTGAAGAACCAGATCTCGAATCACATAACAAGCGTTTATTATGCGTTATATTAGACAGCATCCGGTAACATTTAGCATACGACAATATGATTATACGTTTTACGACCGAAGGAAGTGACATACAGCATTAGTCATCGCAAACAATCTACTATATGCGCTTAGAACTATTTAAGATATCAACAAAAAGGAATTTCTTCTTGAAACTATACGTTGCGGATATGTTACCTTGCTTATTAACGTATCACATGTTTAGTCGATCAAACGGCTAAACCAATTATCATATCAATTATCACGTGAAAATGTCACGCTATCAAGTATAATTGTGGTTAAATATTAGAGTAACAACTCCAGAAATGACAAACATCTAAATATTTCATAAAAAATATCCGTAAAATATTTCCTCCCCGTATTCAATTTGAAATATAAGACGCTAAAAATTTCCAGGTATTTTTATCTTTTAGATGATCCCATTAAGTTTAAATTATAAAATATTTTTAAAAATATATCGTAAGACAAAATGCAAAATTACAAAAAAATCCTATCTCGAGAGAATTAAAGAAGAAATGATATGAAAAGAGCTTTCAAAATTATTATTTTCAATTTAGTCAATGTTGTCATTTAATCGATCAAGTGCGCTGTGAAAAAGCTTGGTTTCTACCCCCTTCTTCCCCTACCGACCTCCCTTCAACGGAAGACGATGACGGCGGCGAGCGAGCTGCGTATATGTATTATATCTACATGTTGTTCTTGTACTGCTGTATCAATCAATAAGCGTGCTCGACGTAAAATACGCGGCATCGGTTCGTATCCCGTATTTCTTACACAGATATGTCGCCTTTCGCAAACAAAGACAATGGGTCTATGATCGATCGGCGCACTCCTCTAACGCCGAAGGCGATTCTTCCGATCCAGTTTGACAATCTCCCTCCGTTAACGACCGTTAAACTAACAACAAAGTTTAAGTTTCCATTCGAACTACATAAGAATACGATTCAGCTCTTATTAGCGCTGACTTTTTCGGCTGTTAGCGCTTCTTGGAGCACGTAACGCGTGAAAAAGAAGTAAATCGCGTTGTACGAATAGACATGTAACATTGGAATTACTTGAAATTGTCATCAACGTTGCTATAGCAATAATAGGACACTACTGGGTGCTGCGTTTCGCGTACAATACACGAATGTAACCAGCGTAGGCGTTCCGCGTCGGCTGTTTGCGACCCTTGTGCTTAACCAAACGAACGTTCAGATTACTCCACTCGATCGTGCTCGAGCTTCGTAAGCACTTCCGTCGTCCGCGCCGATTGAAATCCCGCTAAACAGACGACGCATCAACAATTTGATTGCGCGCGGCTCGTACCTGATGTCGTGCTCCAGGTGGAATCTCGCCACATGGTGGTCGGGTGGTCGCCCAGGTGAAGCAGGGTCCCACCGCCTTTTACACCCCCTTCGTCCTTGGAGCCGCCCTCGTCCACGCCCCAGAGCTTTTTTGTCGAGGGAGCGATCTGAAACATAAAAAAGGAGAACAGATCGTGAGCATTCGGAGGTCAGTGAACACCCTGAAGCACGCGTGTTGACACGAAACTCCCACAGGAGTTCTCTCATTTCTTTATATATATCTATTTTTCCTATAGCGCTCCTCCCTCTTTCCTAGGAAAGTAAAGAGATACGAAGAAACGGCCACTTGCATTAGAAAATTAAAAGTTTCCAAGAGACAAGATTAACGGTTCCGTAATGCACCACATTACCCGTTCTAGCAACGCATCGGCGAAATTCTGCTTCCGCAATAAGCGTAACGGTGTAATTAACATCGCGCCCCACTGATCCATCGTGCACGCACCCACACGTGTTCATACATAGTTCTGCTCTTGAAAATATATATATTTACGCCGTTCTGTACCTATATTTCGGAACGAGGAAAATGTTTCAGAGACAGATGCTACGGAATCGATAACCCGCATTGACGCAATTGTCAAATACGAATAATAAGTCTATTTCCACATGAACAAAATTCGTGAAAACTAAAAAATTTGTAAGAGACCGATTTCAATAATGTACACCGCCACTTTACATCTTACGTCAGATCTTAAGTTCTATTAATTTTGCATTACTTTTTACGCTATCTGTCTCAGAAAAAAATAGAAAATTGAATCCACAGATTCAAGACTCTTGATCTCTCGCCGCAACTATGCTAAATTACAACGTCAGAAAGAATAAATTAAATAAACACTCTGGTCATCATAAAATATTAATTTAAAATAAACAAATATTTTTATTTACCATCAAGCTCGTTTAACAAAAATTCGTAAAATCTCTCGTCTATTCCTTTAATATTAAAGAATTTGTCTAACATAATATTTTTAATATTGCTACTGCTTGTTATATGCTGATGTTCTTAAAATGTATCGACAGATTGATGGACCTGCTGATGCGATTTTATGACAACATGGCTTATATTTTTAGATCTGGTGTCATACCTATTTATATAATTATACTCTTGATGGTTCGCCTCTCTCAGCAGTACGCGACGCTCGTGATCTCGGTGTCTTAGTGCTGACTTATCATTTAACACACACATACAATTAATAGTTTCATCTGCTTATAAGACGCTTAAGTTCATTTTCATTTAAGAATAGAGATCGGAGCTATAAGAGCTATATGAGATAGTACTGCTATCTCAGGTGTTAAAAAATAGATATCTCTACCATTCCAACAACTAACTGAAAAAAGCTCTACATAAGAGATTCAAAACCTTTTGTTCTCTGCTTTTCACACATACTATGCGTTGCAAAAAAAGCGAAAACAATTATTAACTTTTTTCGACGGTTGAAAAAATTGTTGTGCGACAGTAGTTTAATTAGGCAGTTTAACAGTAGTTTAACTAGGTAGTTAACTAGATAGTTTAACAGTAGTTTAACTAACTCAAATTAAAGCAAACAAGTTATAATATTATCACTTAATATATAATTATATATCAGATGTAAGAAGCGTCAAATCTTAAGGCGCCTGGTCCCTGAGCCGAGAACTCTGCGTTGACGGTGGCGACGTACCGTCGCGGCAAAAATCAGAACTCTCTCCAATGGAGAATTCTGTCCTTTATGATATGTTGACAACCTATTTTGTTGTGCATGCTATTTCTTCATTATTCGCTCTGTGCTTGTGCTCTAACGTTTAACGTATTCGTGAAAGTCGTAAAATTGACCGAAAAGTAAGATTTGCATGCAGAAAGAACGTTTTCACCTCCTTTCGATTAAACGGCTGTTTTTCCCGTATGTTTAGGCTTCGTTTTATGGCTGTTTGTTTATTGTCGAGAGAAAAGGGTAGTTTTCGATCATATAGTGATGTTTTATTGAAATGTCTTTTTATTTGAAAATGGCATACACGACAAAATTGGGTGTTTTCCTCGCCTCGATAGTAAGAATCCAATATGGCCGCGGTGACCATACAGAAGCCTTAATTCCGCATAATCTAAAATCCGCAACATGCTAAAGACTGAAAAATGTGGTCAGGGCTGGGCCTTCTTTTTAATGGGGCAATGTGTCCACGCACTTCAATGATGGATTGTTCTTTTATACATAGATAATTGTGCGTAACTAAAAGAAAGACGGATAAGATAGACATATCCAATAAAATTATAGCGATTAAAAAAAAATAAAAATCGAGCGAAAATCTTTTCGCAAAAAAAAACGTTAGAATTCGAAATAAATGTTCGAAGTCACATTCGCTATTGTAAAAAAGTGACCTGCGAGCAGCTACTTGATCCTGCGACTCAAGAATTGTCACAAAATTCTTATTTTAAAAATACACGTCAAGTAGATATATCAGTTTGTCTTAAATTATTTAGTATTTTTAATTTCAAACGCTACTGAGAAAAAAGTAAAGGTCTTAAATGCAAAAAAAAAGGATTAAAGAATTAAAAGAATAAAAGAAACTCATATTGATTTTGCAACAAACTCAAAATCAGTTTCATGCCACTGAATATAAAGAAAAGCCAGCTCCACGCAGGAATCCTATCAGAAAATCTACACAAAACTCCTATTATTGCTCTGACTGTTTCAACTGCTCTCTAAAGTAGAATCAGTGAAAATATCACTAATTGAAACAGTAAAATAAGATTTCACTGAGAATCAGTGAGTATTTCACTGAACTTCAGTAGAATGTTTACTTTTTGTTTCTTTATCTTATATTTCACTGATTATGGTCAGTGAAAGTAAGATGTTACTGTAAAATCAGTTATCTGTTGGTAATACTGATTGATGGTGCGAGGAAGCGGAACAGGATTGTGATCTCAGTGATGTGTGAAACAGAAGACGAGAACGAAGTATACGTGACGAAGGACGAAGCGGTGCTAAGTGTACATTACGAAGAATGAGAGAAACTGCGGTACTGAGCTAAGCGTGCTTGCGAAAAAGGTGAGGTTAAAAGTAAGTACGAAAGCTTCTTGAGCTGTAGTTCATTTACCGCGGGTACTGACGAGTACGGTGGCCCAACGGGGCGAGGTTATAGTTTGCCAACGGGGCAAAGATGGAGGCCCAACGGGCCCATAGTAAAGCGCGATAAACTAGAGACTGTTTCTCCCTTTTCATTTTCAGCATAAACCACGGCGTATTGAACGAGAGAACTGAACAGCAAACAGAATAAGATTATTAATCTCGGTTATCGTTGGAAACTTATCAAAAGGAGTAAGTCTTTTATTTCTTATTCTTATAATTTCTTAGTATAAATTGATTGTTAAAACACGATTCAAATATTTGAATATTTAATTTCAGAAGAACATTGATAAAGGACAACATGATGATCCTCCTATTTTTCCAAATTCTTCGTTAATACAGATATGGCCTGTAAGTTTGGTTAGTGCATTTAAAAGTTATATATTATATATATTAATACTTGCTAACACACAGAAAAATCTTTTTTTAGGAAGGAACAAACATAGAGGCACAAGCTCGTAAGCTGAGGAATGTTTAATTTTTAATTGACTTCATTCTGTAAACATTTTGTACGTAACAATTACATTGTTGAATAAAAAATTATAACACGTATTAAGGTTATTACTTTTTGTTACTGTTTGCTGGGACATTTACTGATTTAATCAGCTTGCATTACTGATTTTGCTGTTCAAAGTCACTGTTTCCAGTAGTCCAATATTACTGAGTAAAACAGTCAATATTACTGATTTAATCAGTTCACATTACTGATTTTGCTGCTCAAAGTCACTGTTTTAGTAGTATAATATTACTGATTAAAATAGTCAATATTACTGATTTAATCAGCTCACATTACTGATTTTGCTGTTTTAAGTCACTGTTTCTAGTAGTCCAATATTACTGATTGAAACAGATATTAATAACTAATTCTTTCAGTGAAATGTCACTGATTCTAAGTGGTATACTTATAACTGCTTCAATCAGTGACTATTTACTGTTTCTCAGTAAAAATACACTGATTCTCTTTTAGAGAGTGGGTAATTTTTTCAATATTACATATTAATAATAAATAATATTATAAATAAGTATAAAAAATAATATAACGTTTTTTATTATGGACAAATAGTCCCTCAAATGTGACCAGATAGCCCCGCATACGAGCCCATCTGCCTACGCTCGATTGGTCTGCTTAAATAATTCATCTTTTTAAAATGTTAAAATAAGATGAACTATAATTACTTTTATATCACACGTGCATCGAAAGTGGCCCATTCCGTGCGCGCCATCTGTGTGCGAAGTAGCCAATTCCATGCATGAGAAATTTCTCACTATATTCCCGCACTAGTGCGGAAATATAGTGAGAAATTTCATTCCCGCACGACTCATTGCCAACACTCTCCTTATTTTCCCCACTCATTCTGTGTCTTTCCCACTAGAGTCCTCTTATTTCTGACTAGTGTCCCTGATTTCTGACATGTTCTTAACGACATCTCGCGGCGCACTACGCGAAACACTACGCGTGTTTCCGTGCGCTGCAAGATGTCTACGCGAATTACCACAGCGATACTCAGACATAACCTCAGAAACGCCAGAAACCGAGACTGACTCAATGTAAAATTTCTCGTGTACCCGAAATCGTCGAGGAGTCGCGTAGCGGATGTGTATGTGTGTGCACGTGTGTCGCGCGGATTCGCACGCCAGGACGATCGATAAACCGTCCGTCGTCGAGATCGCGTTTTCCGGGAACGAAACGCGAATCGTCGGGAAGCCCGGCACGTGCCGGCACCGTTCCCTCGAGCTACGAGCCGGCGAAAACCTAATCTGCAAAGGCAACTGTGAAACGGAGACGCTTCGAGCCTACGAGCATTTTGATTCAATTCTTATTGGTTAAGACATTGGACTACTGTGCATACGTAATGTTGTTTCACCTTTCTTATTACATCTTATTACATTCTTTCTTATTACATCTTATTACATTCTTATTACATATTTGCTCCTGTAATAAACGTTGCTTTTATCATAGGCGGGGGGAGGGGCTCCGCCCCTCCCCCCCGCGCCCCCCTTCCCGCCTGCGCCCA